AAGCATTTGACAAGATCCAACACCCCTTCATAATGAAGTATTACAATTTTAAAATCAACTCCTTTGTACATACATAATCTAATGTTCAAAATAATGAAAGCAATCAAGTTGTTTTTTTTCTCATGGTTGTGTAGACATTGTCCAATTACACAATGACTACTGTGAAACCCAGCCACATCCTAATTTCAAATTCTTTCAATGGGAAAATTTTTCAAAATCAGCATCAGTCTTCATTGGTTTGGGAGTACATAAAGATGGGGTTGATTCAAGTATGTGCACAAATGTATTTGGTCTAAATTTTATAATATATCAAAGGTAATTAAAGTGTATCGTGTTTTGTTATTTGTCTGTGTTCATCTGTGATAACTGGTCTTCAATAGTTGAATAAGTTTAATGTAAATAGTTCAAGGCACAGGACGATATGAGGGAATGTATGAAAAAATTTTCAAACTGGGATTCCTTCCTAGAGTAACTTATGTTAATAACATGCTGCTTATAGCTTCATTCTTTCAGTGTGAATTTTTGGTAGGACAATGTGAGTGTGTGTGTGTGTGTGTATGTGTGTGTGTGTATGGCTGAAATGTTCTGATCAGATACTAGGTTGTGAAATCAAACTAAAAAATGTGTATGACCTAATTTATCATTTGGTAAAAGTATTATAGGTTGGAGTCAAGACAATTTTTTAGGCTGGGAAAGTGGCTAAATATTAGAGTTCTTGCCAAGTATGCATGAGACTCTGGGTTTTATTCCTTGTAGAGAGCTAGCCTTGAGCTGAAGTATTGAAGGACAGTGTTAATGCCCAGATTTCAGCCCAATGACAGACAAAACAATTACATTTTTATAAGAAGGAAAAAGCTGACAAATTCGAACAGTTGTTACAAGTCTTTTTTAACATCTTCCTAATTACCATTATCGACTTCAACCCATTTAGCCTCTAAAAGCTTTATGGAATTTACAGGATGTACACATTTCAAGAAATGGTTATATGCAGTAGGCCAAAGGGGACTGATCTACCAGAGTTTGTTCCACTCATTAGCTATATTAAGTAAATATAACAATATTCATAGTCATGTTGGTATGTTTATTGTATACTAGTATGCAATCCTTTGGGTCAATGCAAAGGAACAGGATTGCTGATTGATACAGCAGCTCTGTTTTTAATATATGAGGAACCTCCAAAATGCTTTCCAAGGTGGTTGAATCTAGTCTACATTAATACAACAGAATAGCAGCGTTCCCATTTGGTCACATATGTGCCAGCTTCTGATATGATTTCTTTTTTTAACGTGAGGTAGTAGGAATCTCAGTGTAGTTTTCATTTGCATTCTTTTATTCCTGACTTTGTTTCAAATTTGCAGTCAAACTTGATGTTAATGTAAGGAAGTTCCTTTGCTCTATATTATCAATCTTTTAGGGTAAGAAAGATTCATTTGCTACCTGAGCAAGCTAATATCTAACCATTATTATTATCCACATTGATTCTTTTTTCCTTAGTAGGCATTTGCATATTACTAGCCACATTCAAGGATAACAGACGATATCAAGACATAGGACAATAAATTAAAATCTTAAAAGAGACATCATTAATATAAAATATTAATTCAATACAAGGTGCATCAAAGAGGACAAATTAAGGTTAAATTCACAAAAATCAACTGTGAGGAAAGAATAATTATCAGCCATTGTACTCAAAACTGTTCACTTGAGTTTGGGGTTGAATAAATATCTTACCAAAATTAAAAGTAAATCATGTCTTACAGCCATAACAAACCCTCATATTTCTTATCAGATTTCATGCATATAAATTCATGGTGATTGAAGGCACAAAGCTTCTGCATGACAAAGGACATAGATAGCAAGATCAATAGAAAGCAAACAGATTGTGAGAAAATCTTTACTAGCCATTTGATGGACAAGGGTCTCGGATCTAAAATATAATTAGAACTCAAAAAATTCAATCCTCCAACAACATATCCTTAAAAAAACAACTGAATTTCAAAGTGGTTGAACAAGGTTACATTCCCACCAACAATGGAGTTGGGTTTCCTTCTGTCCACAATCCCTCCAGCATTTGTTGTTATTAGAGTTTTTGTTTATAGACATTGTAACTGGGGTGAGGTGTTATCTCAATGTTGTTTTGATTTGCATTTCTTTTCTGGGTAGAGATGTTGAGCGTTTCTTAACGTGTTTATTGGCCATCCTTCTTTGCTCTTCAGAGAAGTTTCTCTTTAAGTCTTTAGTCCACTTATTTATTTGGCAGTTGTTTCAAAAGTAGTGTGGAGGTTGCTCAAAAGACTTCACATACAGCTCCTCTATAACTCAGCAATCCCACATTTGGTCATTTACCATAATGATTACAAACAAAACCATATTAAATCCACCAGCACAACTATGTTTATTGGAGCATTATTTACCATAGCCAAGATTGGAAACCAACCAAGATGCCCCTCCATAGATGAATGGATCAAGAAAATGTGGTATATATACAAAATGGAATTCTATGCCTTCATCAGAAAGAATGACATTGCCTCATTTGTAGGAACTGGAAAGACTTGGAAAAAATTATATTAAGTGATGTAGGCCAGGCCTGAAAGACCCCAGACTCACTGGGATACTTTCTTCAATGGGAGGGCACCCCAGGAACCAAGACCCCAAACCAGCAGATGCAACAAACAAGAGGAGTTTATTTGGCATTTGCAAAAAACGGACTCTCTTTCCAGGGCAGACAGGGAGCCCCGAGCAGTGGATACAGGCACTTTTAAAGGCAAAAACCACAGGATTAGCATAAAACACCAGGATTGGCTTAATTTAAAAATCATCATGTACTCCAGCAATCTTTTTTTGTGCGGGAAGTCTTGTAACACTCTTCGTAAACTGGTTGGCTCTCTAGGGGAGGCTTCCCTGGAGGGGAGTCCACATAGTTACAGGCTCATGATTGGTTGACATTTGACCTAGTTTGCTGGGCTTGCCAGATAGTCTTTATCTTGAGTCCCTTGCTGAGAGTTTTTACACAGGAATTTAGAAGAACATACTCTTTTGTTCTTTATCTATGTTTGCAGACCTTGTCCCAGGGCCTGCATCTGGACTCTGAAACTTTTTACTTATTTCCTGGGAGGGTCTGTGCTAGCGCAAGCAAATTTACAGAAGCAGAATTAGCAGTTAGTAAATTGTGAAATGGACATAGCCCAGATTTCAATCTTTCATTCCCTCCTCTTGTCTTTGCACTAATTTTAATCTTAAAATTTAGGGAGTTTCTATATCGTTTACAGGTGTGTCAATTGTCTGTAATGCTTGGTATTGTTGGGCTAATACCATGCCCTGCAAAACGGATAGCCTCTCATGGATAAACTGCAATAGCTTGTTAAGAATGCAAGGGCCAAAAGTGAAAAGCAATAGTAGGATGACGACAGGTCCTGCTATCATAAACAACAATGTAGTGAGCCAGGGGGATTTAGACCACAAACTTTCAAACCAACTGCTTTGATCAATCTTTTCCCAATTTAGCTCCTCCAGATGCTCACGGAACTTGGCCATGGAATCGCGAGCTACCCCGGTGTGATCAGCATAAAAACAGCATTCTTCTTTTAGGGCTGAGCACAACCCTCCATCCTTGATAAAAACTAAGTCTAAGCCTCTACGGTTTTGAAGCACTACCTCTGATAGGGAGGTGAGGGAGATTGTTAATGCCGAGACAGATTTTTCGATGGCCTTCAAGTCCTGTGTTACAGCAGCTTTTAATTGCTTTAGGTTTTGTTGACCTCCCACATATGCAGCCCCTCCCACTCTCACTCCCGCTATACCTACGGCGGTTCCAAATCCCATGAGGACAGCTAATGTTACACTGACGGGTTCCCTTTTGTATCTGTGGGTCAGGCCTTCCGCCAATTCTTCAAAGGATCGGGAGTCATGGTATATGACCAGAGGATAGAGGTGCACTAGAACACAAAAACCAGTCTGGTCTATCAACATTGGTGAGATGCACGGGGTTAACCCGGTGTCACATGCCCACCATCCCCCATCCGTGGGTGTCAGGTATTTGCCGGCAAAGACCTGAAACTTTTCCGTGAGAGCGCAGAACTGACTCTTTTTGGGGGGAGGAGTGCCGAGACATAGCCCTTGACCCGATACCTCAGCTAGAGTCAACTTGGTGCCCTGTCGTCCCCAAGGGCATGAGTCAGAATAGTTGTAGGTACCATTGTAAGCTGTCCCTTCATAATAAGGGGGTCCTCAGAAAGGCAGAGCTAACAGGACCGAGTGAGGTTACTTTTGGTAGAGTTGAGGGCAGAATAGTCTCCCTCTATTAAGTTGTATAAAGGGGGCATTAGGGGCAGGCTTGGGTTAGGGATGACCCGTGGGCGGGTGAGGTCGGGCTCCTGATTTATGGAAAAGGGCCTCTTTTCGAGGGTAGGGTTGGGTTCCAGGAGGTTGGGACCAGCACTCTGCACTTGGAGGCGGATCATCATAAGCCCGCTATTATCATAACCCCAATTATTTGTGCGCAGCCTGACTCCCCCGGTGAATCCAGTCACCCAGCCTAAGTTAGGCATTTGCCCCTTGGTGGTGAATTTTATAGTAAGCTTTACGCACCACCGGTAATATCCTGAGTCGGCGCATTTCCTTCATCATATCAAGGGCCAACTTTATAGCCCCAACTCTATCTGATCCCTTTTGTTGTCGCACTGGCCCTTTTGACTGTAATATAGTCCGAAGAGGAGGAAGGATTCCAGTAGGTGTCCCCACTAGTTTCACAACCCCAGGCTTTATAAAAATAATCTTTTTCTCCTTCATATTTGTACGTGAGAGAAGGGTCCTGGTGGTTGACGGGGCAGGCATAGACAGGGTAGCCTTGGCGGACTGCCTTTCCATATAAGGCATCCGCCTGATTAGAAACAGAAATGCAAAAGTTTGGTGTTAGGTTGGGCCACCATGTCCAAAGGGGGGCTATATTGGAGGCAGACCATATGATGCCCCCATGTTCATCCATCACTTGCCAAGTCTGGTTATAGAGAGAGTGTGGGTTTGTGCCCACCCAGGGGGTGGACTTTTTGTCCCTCCACTGCTTTTAAAATTATAGTAACAAGGAATATTAAACAGTTTTTAAGAGTCTTATCTTGAGAGCGTTTTGAGTGCGCTGCACCTTCCATTTCAGTGGCTCTGGGGGGGGGGTTCTTTTTGTCTTCAGGCGGCATTCGCTTGACTTGGGAGGCGTGGATCCAGGCGGCGATTCTGTCTACCTTTAGCACAGTGGGTGTGGTCAGCAGCACAATGTACGGGCCCTTCCACCATGTTTCGAGGGTCTTGGATTGGTGCCTCCTCACATACACCTCGTCGCCAATCTGGAAAGGATGTGCGACAGTGGAGCTCTCTGTGCTGTAGGCAAAGGCCAAAGGCTTCCACACTTGTCTCTGGATGAGTTGCAGAGCTTGCAGCCGCGCCTGTAACCTTTGGGTATTTGCAAAAGAATCAATGGCAGGGTCAAGGAAGTCCGCTATGGGAGGGGGCCCCCCATATAGGATTTCATAGGGGGTCAGTCCATGGCTTGCTGGAGTGTTCCGAGCTCGAAACAAAGCCATGGGGAGGAGTTGGACCCAATCTTTAGTGCCAGTTTCTAAGGCTAATTTAGTTAGGGTCTCTTTGATTGTTCTATACATCCGGTCTACCTGTCCTGAACTTTGGGGTCTATAAGCACAATGTAATTTCCAATCTATCCCCAAAAGCGTGGCCACCATCTGACTTACCTGGGAGACGAAAGCAGGGCCATTATCTGACCCTATTACCTTAGGGAGCCCAAATCGAGGAAAAATCTCTTCCAAAATCTTTTTGACTACTACTTGTGCTGTCTCTGGTTTTGTGGGGAAGGCTTGCGTCCAGCCAGAGAAGGTATCTACAAAGACTAGGAGATATTTAGCCCCATACTTGCCAGACTTGATTTTGGTGAAATCGACCTCCCTATTGGTGCCGGTCCATTCGCCTCTCATCCTGACTCCAGCGGGTGCTTGGAATCGGCCTGCATTAACCTTGGCACAGGGAACACAAGAGTCTATAACCTGTTTAATTATGTTTGACAGATCTGGAATGTAATGAAACTGTTCCTCTCTCTGTAGCATAGTCTCCAACTTTTTGTACCCCAAGTGACTCCATCTGTGTAAGTGGGTGACCAGCCTTTTCGCATCCTTTCGGGGCAATATAGTCCTGTTTTCATATTCCCAAGTCCCAGTCGAGTCGTTAAAAGTTGCCTTTAGCTTTTTGGCCACCTCTATGTCCTGATCTGAATACTGGAAGAGAGGTTTTTTTTTTTTTTGGCTGCCATTCTTGTGATGTGACTAAAGCAAAGGTTTGGTTCTGTAAGGCCGCTGCCTTAGCAGTTTCATCTGCCATCCTGTTTCCTGCCGCTACAGGGTCCCTCCCCACTTGGTGGCCTGGGCAATGGATGATGCTTACCTTTTTAGGCAGGAAAAGGGCTTGTAAGAGGTCTAAGATTTTCTTTTTGTTTTTAATGTCTTTTCCTGCTGAAGTCAACAGACCTCGCCTCCTATAGATCTCTCCATGGACATGCGGTAGCAAAGGCATACCGACTGTCTGTGTAGATATTAACTTTCTTTTCCCGGGCCTTTGTCAACGCCTGTGTCAGGGCAATGAGTTCAGCCCTCTGCGCTGATGTTCCGGGCTCTAGGGTCGATGCCCAGATGACCATGGTCCCATCCACCACTGCCACCCCCGCTTTTCGCTCACCATTATGTAGGAAACTGCTCCCATCCGTATACCAGGTGTGTTTAGCGTCCAGTAGGGGCTAGTCAGTTAAGTCCTCATGGGTTCCGTGCATCTCTGCCAGGATTTGATGGCAATTATGTTCGATGGTGAGGTGGGAATCTGAGTCCGGGAGTAGGGTTGCTGGGTTGAGAGAGCGTGGGGCCCCGAACTGAATTCGGTCGGGATTTAATAGCATTGTTTGGTAATGAGTGATCCGGGCATTTGAAAGCCAGCAGTCAGGGGGCTGGCGAATAACTGTCTCTATAGCATGGGGGGCCGTCACAGTTAAGGGCTGTCCCAAGGTTAGCTTATCAGAGTCTTTTACCAACACGGCCACAGCTGCAATAATAGGAAGACATAGGGGCCATCCAGCTGCCACAATTTTTTTGAGAAATAGGCCACTGGTCTTTTCCAGGGCCCTAATTTATGGGTCAGGACTCCTTTTGCAATTCTTTGTCACTCATCCACATATAGAGTGAAGGGCTTGGTCACATCCGGAAGGCCCAAGGCCGGAGCTGACAATAAGGCCTTTTTAATTTGATCAAAAGCCTGTTGTTGTTCCTTTTCCCATCGGAATGGGGTATTAGCCTTGGTAAGAGGGTACAGAGGAGCTGTCAGTTCAGCGAACCCTGGTATCCACAAGCAACAAAATCCAGCACTCCCTAAGAACTCCCTCAGTGTTCGAGCACTTGTGGGCAGAGGGATCTGGGTGATGGCTTGTTTGCAGCTCTCTGTTAGCCACCTCTGCCCTCCTTTTAGCTTGTAGCCTAGATAGGTTACTTGTTGGATACAGATTTGGGCCTTGTTGGCTGAGGCTCTATACCCTAACTCCCCCAGTCTCTTTAAAAGGGCCCAAGTACCTTTTAGATGATCATCTCCAGTCTCATCTGCTAGAAGTAGATCATCTACATACTGTAGAAGGGTGAATTTGGGAAGGTTGACTCTGAAATCAGCCAGGTCCTGGTGTAGAGACTCATCAAACAGGGTCGGGCAGTTTTTGAATCCCTGCAGCAATCTCGTCCAGGTGAGCTGTCCTGAGAAACCCGACTCTGGATCTCTCCATTCAAAGGCGAAGATCGGCTGACTGTGAGGGCTCAGTCTCATGCAAAAGAAGGCATCCTTTAAATCTAGCACTGTATACCATGTGCGACTTGGAGGCAGCGTACTCAGCAAGTTGTAGGGGTTAGGCACTGTAGGATGTATCTCCTAAGCCCTCCGGTTTACTTCTCTCAAGTCTTGCGCCGGATGGTAGTCTCCCCTTCTGGGTTTTTTGGCGGGTAATAAGGGAGTGTTCCATGGGAATTGGTAGGGTTTTAGGATACCCAATTGTAACAGTCTTTGTATTTGTGGCCTAATTCCATTTTTAGCTTCCCTGCTTAGTGGATACTGACGTATCATCACCGGGACAGCCGAGGCCTTAAGTCCGATGACCAGAGGAGGCTGGTTTGCAGCCAACCCTATTCCTGCCATCTCCGCCCAAGCCTGGGGAAAATCTGACAACCACTGGGGGTCGATCGGGGCCACTGGGGGCTTTCATGTAAATGATGTTCATCTTCCAGGCATAAAGTTAGGACCTGGAGAGGCTGTCCTTGGGGACCCCTAACAGAGGCCCCTTTTTCTTGAAAATGGATCTGGGCTCCTACCTTTGAGAGGAGGTCTCTCCCCAACAATGGATAGGGGCAGTCTGGGACCAGGAGAAACAAGTGTGTGACCAGCCCTGTTCCGAGATGTACTTTTTGCTCGGTCGTCCACCGATACAGTTTTCCTCCAGTGGCTCCATGTACCCAGGACGTTTTAGTACTTAGGGGACCTTTTGGTTGGGTCAGTCAGTACCGAGTATTGGGCACCTGTGTCAACCAAGAAGGTTACTGGTTCCTGCCCACTCAACGAGTTACCCGGGGCTGGGGGGGGGGGCTCCTGGCCCTGACTGTCCTAGTCATCACCTTCCAGTGACAACACCTGTGCCCATCTTCGGGACCCTCTGGCCTGTCTCTTGTTTTTAGGACAGTCTTTGGCCCAGTGTCCAATTTCTTTGCAATACGCACATTGTTCCCGGCTCAATTGGGTCTCTTTTCGTCTCCCAGGTCCCTCACTGGCCTAGTCTCTCTCTCTCCTGGGTGTCGAACTATGGTGGCCAAGATTCTACTTAACTCTTTGGTATGTTTCTTTTCTCGCTTGTCCTCTCTATCCTCCTGCAACTTACACAATCTTTCTTCTTTTTCTTCCTGGGTTTCCCTCTTATTAAAAATTTTTTCTGCTTCTTTGACCAAGTCTTGCAAAGTATACCCCTGAAGCCCCTCCAACCGCTGCAGCTTAGTCCAAATGTCCGTGGCCGACTGCCCGATAAATGACTTAATGACATCGGATTGTCTGTCTGCAGCAGAGGGGTAAAAGGGTGTATAATTACGGTACCCTTCCATTAGTCTTTCTAAAAATCCCACAGGCATTTCCTCAGAACCTTGCACTATCGCACGTACCTTGGCCAAATTAGTGGGGCAACTTCCTGCCCCTTTGAGACCCGCCAACAGAACCTGGCAATAAAGACAGAGCCGCTTCCTACCAGCAACAGTGTTGAAGTCCCAGTTAGGGCGAGTCAAAGGGAACACTTCATCGATCTCATTTGGCAACTGTGTTGGTCTGTCATCTTGTCCTGGAACATTTTTACGAGCCTCTAGGAACACCCGCTGGCGTTCGTCTGTAGTAAGGAGGGTCTGTAAGAGTTGCTGACAATCGTCCCAGGTGGGCTGGTGGGTTAGCAAGATGGATTCAATCAAGCCCCTCAGGGCTTGAGGGTCTTGGGAAAAGGGTGGGTTATGGGTTTTCCAATTATATAAGTCTGAAGCAGAAAAAGGCCAATACTGAACTTGGCTGGCCACTGTCAGGAGAGGGAAGGCATGAGCCGTCCAGACTCCTTTGCTTTCTCCGTCCCGATCAAGGCGGAGGTGCAGGCAGCTGCTGGGAGGTGGCGAGGGCGCTCTGGGCACTGATGGCTCAGTGGAGTCGGGTGAGGGAACAGGTGGGGTAAGGGAGCCCCTAGCAGCCCTCCGTGTTCTTCCACTGGAGCAGGCTGGGGATAAGGCGGCAGAGGGTCTGGCATTTGTGGGCGTTCTAACAATAATAAGTCCGTCTGATTATCAGACAGAACGGGGGGGGGGGGGGGGACTCGAAGAGGAGGGGGAAGAGTCCTTTGCTCTAAGCTCTGACAATTCCTTTAGGGGGTAGAGGGAGGACTGGGATAAGGGAGGGAGAAGAGGAGTGAGGGGAGTGGGTGGGGAGGGGGGAGGCGGGGGAGGACAGATGGGCTGGGTGGGGGCAGGAGGAAGAGGGACAGGGGAGAGGCAGAGGGTGAAGGGGCTGGAAGGGAGATGGGAGAATGGGAGAGAAAAGGCTTAATCCATTTCGGGGGATCTTGGGCAAGGTTTGCCCAAGTAACTATGTAGGTCACCTGATCAGGGTATCCGTGAGGGCTGGACTGGAAAACTCGAGCATTCACCTGTAAAACAACATCAAGATTGACAGAACCCTCCTTAGGACACCCCACGTTGAGGGCAGGCCATTCGGAGGAACAGAAAGTAATCCACTTCTTTTTCCAGACCTCCAACAACAGGTTGTGCGCCCGGGCCGAGATTTCTTTCCAGTGATCTAGAGTCAGGCTTAAAGGGGTTGTTAGTTGTTGTCCCATTTCTTTGAAGGCCACAAGACAGACAACAAAGACAATCAACGCTAAACAGACACAGACGAGACTAGACAAAGGCCGAGTGGTGCCCGAGTGAGTACAAATGAGGAGGGAAACTTCAGAAGGGAGAGGCTGGCCGTGGCTTAACTCCCCAGAACAAAGAGACACTCAGATCTTGTCCCTCCTCCAAACGACCCTAGACAGTACTTCAGGGTGGGACCAGGGTACAGGGCACGTCTGCTTTTCCCTCTGGCCCAAATACAAATTCAAATACAAGTCCTGTACAGGTGCTTTTGGATCCCCAAAAAGTAAAACAAAGAGGACAAGCATGGAAAACACAGAAAGTTAGAGCTCTGTCTTACCTCCAACTGGTCTTGAAATTTTGGGTCTGGGGGTGCCTGATCCCGGACGAGCCCCCAACCTGAAAGACCCCAGACTCACTGGGATACTTTCTTCAACGGGAGGGCATCCCAGGAACCAAGACCCCAAACCAGCAGATGCAACAAACAAGAGGAGTTTATTTGGCGTTTGCGCAAATGGACTCTCTGTCCAGGGCAGACAGGGAGCCCCGAGCAGTGGATACGGGCACTTTTAAAGGCAAAAACCACAGGATTAGCATAAAACACCGGGATTGGCTTAATTTAAAAATCATCATATACTCCAGCAATCATTTTGTTGTGTGGGAAGTCTTGTAACACTCGTTGTAAACTGGTTGGCTCTCTAGGGGGAGGCTTCCCTGGCGGGGTGTCCACATAGTTACAGGCTCTTGATTGGTTGACATTTGACCTAGTTTGCTGGGCTTGCCAGATGGTCTTTATCTTGAGTCCCTTGCTGAGAGTTTTTACACAGGAATTTAGAAGAACATACTCTTTTGTTCTTTATCTATGTTTGCAGACCTTGTCCCAGAGCCTGCATCTGGACTCTGAAACATTTTACTTATTTCCCGGGAGGGTCTGTGCTAGCGCAAGCAAATTTACAGAAGCAGAATTAGCAATTAGTAAATTGTGAAATGGACATAGCCCTGATTTCAATCTTTCAGGCCAAAGGAACAGGTTCCATGGTTTCCCTTATTTGCAATAACTAGTATATGTCTGAGACAAGCAGAAAAGTTCAGATAAGTTCATGTTAGGTGAAATGAACCCAAGATAAATATTCAAATTTTTTCTTTCTTGCGATTGTTTCTAATATATTTAGAACATTATTTCCTTGATGCTTTGTATGTCCCTCCCCCACGGTATAACTCCTGCTTTCACTGTATTTGTTGTTGGTGTAATTTCTGTAGGGTAAGGGAAAAAAGAAACTGTTTCAATAGGGATACAGGAGGACCCCTTGAAACAATGAGAATTAGTTATGTTGAAAAAAGAACTTTATAACTTTGGTAGTGTGGGAGTGGGGGAGTTGAGGTGGCAGGGCAGATGGGAAGGGATGTTAAGGGGAAACAATGGAGGAGGCAACAATGCTTCATAAGAAATGTACTCATTACCTTGCCCATGTAATTGAAACCCCTCTGTATGGAATTTTCACAATGAAATTTTTTAAAAAAAGAACGAAAGAAACAACTGCCTGGTCAAGAAGTAGGCCAAATACTTGAAGTGAAACTTCACTGAAGGGGAAATTAGAAAGGCCAATATACATGTGAAGAAATGCACAACTTCTATAACAACTACTAAATATCCCCATGCAGCTGATCACTTGTATGGTGTATATGGATACACCATTATATGTTATAGACTGTGATAGACAATTTGTTCCAGGAAAGTTAGAATGAACTTGTGACTTTAAATGAGCATTATTATTCCACAATACTGTGAAATTTGGGAAATTATGTAATCACTTAATCACAATTAAAAAAAAAAACCTCGGGGAAGGTAGGGAGGGAAGGGTTAGTAGGGGGAAAACAATGGAGGGGGTAACAATGCTCAATAGGTAGTGTACTCATTACCTTTCTCATGTAACTGTAACCCTCTGTATAGTATCTTTACAATAAAAAATTAAAAGAAAGAAAAGACTGCACATAGAGCTCCCCTATGACCCATCAATCCCACTTTTGAGAATTTACCCAAATGATCATGAATAAGACCATACTATGCCTACCACACAACTATGTTTCTCACAGAATTATTTACCATAGCTAAGATAAGAAAGCAAGCCAGATGTCACTCAGTAAATGAATGGATCAAGAAAGTGTGGCATATATACATATGTAATATACATATATATGTATATTATACATATATGTACATATATGTCTATCTGTATATATATATGTATATATATATATGAATTTTATGCCTTCATTAGAAAGAATGACCACCCCATTAGGTAGGAAACAGAAAGACTTGAAAAAAATTATATTAAGTGAAGTAAGTCAGGCCCAAAGAAACATAGGTCACATGGTTTCCTTTATTTGGAATAACTAGTATAAATTTAGGACAAGCAAAAAGGTCTGAAGCTAAATAAACATGTATAGGCATAGAGAGAGAGAGACTCACACACACAAACACACACATATATACATATATATGATATATATATGTATAGTTATGATATATATACCTATATATTTACATATATAAGTAAATAGAGATATATGAAGTTGTTAAGAGAAATGAACCTGAAGATAGGAACACGTGCTATTGTTTTTAATGTGTTTAAAACGTAGTATGCGCTTTTTTGTTTCTTTGGTATGCTCCCCTCCCCCCCCCACACACAATATAACCCTTCTTTTCACTGAATTTGATTCCAGTGTCCTGGCTGTTGTATATATATTTTTCTAATTTGGGGAGGGGAAGGGAAAAAAATCAGAATGCTTAAATTGGCATACAGGTTGAACCAATGTAACAAGGAGATGTCGAATGCCTTATGTTGAAAATGAACTTTACAACTTCAGTGTGGGGAAGAGTTGGGGAGGTCAGGAAAGAAGCAATGGTAGGAGCAAAACAAAGGAGGCAATAATGCTCGATAAAAATGTACTAATTACCTTACTCATGTAACTGTCACTCCTTCGTACAGTATTTTTACAGTATTCTTGCTCATGATAAGCACAGCACGTTTGATGTACACTATAGTTATTTGCATTTCGATTTTGGCAAGAGATATTAAATATTTCCGCATACATCTATTGGTCATTTTTATTTCATACCGATCAGAATCTCTTGGATAATTTAGAAAACTTATAAATGGGGTGGTTGTTTCTTAATGAATTTTTTTAAGATTTTTTATTTTAAAAATACTGTACAGAGGGGTTTCAGTTACATGAGCAAGGTAATGAATACATTTCCTATCAAGCATTGTTCCCTCCTTCTTTGTTTTTCCCCTACCATTCCTTGCTCCCACATCCACAAGTAAACCCCTCCCCCTCCAGCCTAAATTGTAAAAATTGTTTTTCAACAGTCTTGTACATCTCATTCATACAATGGGCCAACTTATATCCCTCCTTAGTCATTCTCTTTTTTTTTTCCTTCCCCTCCTCAAATAGAGAAGATGCACGGCACTGACATCAAATAGAGTGAAAACATGGATAATAATGTGGGAAGGAACAAAAAAGCAACAAAAAAAATCACATGGTACCTTATGAATCTGTTAGAAACACTAGTAAGTAAGAAAAAACCACTTGTGTCCCTATCTTGGAGTTCATTTCACTTAACATCATTTAATCTTGTCAAATGTACATAGCTTTTGAACTTTTGCCTGTCCCAGACATGTACTATTCATTGCAAGTAAAGGAAACGATGGGACGTATGTTTCTTTGGGCCTGGCTTACTTCACTTAATATAATTTTTTCCTTGCCTTTACTTTTCCTAACAAATGTTTTCTGATGGAGGCATAAATTTCCATTGTGTGTGTGTATGTGTGTGTGTGTGTGTGTGTGTGTGTGTGTGTGTGTGTGTGTGTGTGTGTGTGTGTGTGTGTACCACATTTTCCTGACCCATTCATTTACTGAGGGGGATCTGTGTTGATTTCTTTTCTTATCTATCGTAAATAATGCTGCTTTAAACAAAGTTGTTCTGGTAGGATTAGTACGGTCTTGTCTGTGATCATGTGCTGGGTCATAGGGCAACTCTATTCGGAGATTTAGGATCCTCCATACTGCTTTCAAAATTGGTTTAACAAGTTTATACTCCCACCTACAATATAGTAGAATTTCCTTTTGCCACAACCCTTCCAGCATTTCTTGTTATTAAAGTTCTTGATTATAGTCATTCCAATTGGGATGAGGTGGAATCTCAATGTTGTTTGTTTGAATTTCTTTTATGGCTATAGAGTTTGAACATTTCTTCATGTGTGTACTGGTCATTGATATTTCCTCTTCAGAGAAATGTCTATTGTGTCTTTATCCCACTTAATTATCAGGCAGTTTTCTCTCTGAGGATTTGTGAATTTGTTATTGAGGAAATTTAATTTTGGGAGCTCTGTCACCCTTGCATGTTTT